CGGGAGGCGGAGCTTGCAGTGAGCTGAGATCCGGCCACTGCACCCCAGCCTGGGCGACAGAGCAAGACTCTGTCTCAAAAAAAAAAAAAATAAATAAATAAAATTAATTAATCAAATAAATGACATGTAGGCTTTCAAATGAGTGCTGTGCCCTTCATAGTATTTACCTTAGAAAACAATATCAAAAACAAAAAACAAAGAACAACTATTTATTTTGCAAAGAAACAAACTCCTGATTTGTACTTGCTTAGGATGATGATGCCCTCTCTCTCTCTCTCTCTCTCTCACACACACACACACACACACACACACACACACACACAGAGTCATTATCTAGCATGGCTATCCATGTTGTTTCCCAAGATGAGTTCCAAGTTACTATTGATTATAGAAATAAAATTTATTATCAAAGGAGAAAAATAAAAATTTTTTTTGTCCCTGAGGACATGTAAAGAATGTGCCTTGGTCACAAAAAATGTTTTCATGTAAATGCAAAGTTACTCCCCTATTTATTGGGCACTTACTACATGCCAGGCACTGTGCTAGGGACTGGAGCTGCCTAAAGAATAAAAAATAACCCCTGCCCCATTGACTGCTGAAGAGATGCCTCAACGTGCCTGCCGGGTTCCTACTTGAGAGGAACCCACTCCACACATCAGAAGAGGAAGGAAGAGGGAGGAGCACTGGGGGAGGGGAAAGATGGGTCAAGGAGAAGAGAGCCCTGCATTACCACTGAGGCCCAGGGGCTTTCTGGAGAACTACAGTGGCTGAGGAGAATGTATTCAGTTGCCTTCCATGTGTTAGGAATGGAAAACCTCCTCCAGCTCATCCACATCATCCAAATCCTCAGCTCTCAGTTAGAATGGAGGATGTTTCCTACTGTTGTTTTGTGTCTGTTTTTGAAGAGAGAATAAGAGGATCGGGGAGATTGGGCATTTGGCGAACACAAACGTGGTGGCCTGATGCTTCACCCCGGGTGGTTTTGGATCCTTTGAACGTACCACATAATTGGCTTTGGTATTTTGTGTTCCTCGCTCAGGGATGAGTGACACGACACCAGCAAAAAAAGGGGGGAAAGTTCATCTTGAATTTTGAATTCTGAGAGCCTAGAATTCAGAGAACACAAAATACTCAATTTATAAAATGTGTTTGTAAGAATGGCTGACCATCAACAGTCATGCACCCAGTCCTGACAAGATCAAGATTCCCTGGGACTTTCAGATGGGAAAGAGGAGTGCACAAATACTCCCTCTTCTGTTAGTGGATCCCTAACGGAAGAGGCACCGAGCTTTGTCATCCTTCTCCTGCACCATGAACACCTCGTATGGAGCTAACAAAAACACCAGAAAGGATTGGGGAATCTGGGCATAGAGAGACCCCTTTCCCAGGTAAGGGTCCATGGAAGCACCAAGAGCCCACAGTGACAGTGGATGTAGGGATCTCAGGGCAGAGGGGACTTCACAGCTGCCCAGAGCTTCCCATAGCCAAGCAGTGGTCAGCAGTGGCAGAACGATTCTCTGTGTTCTCTGTGTGGAGATGGGTGAGAGCTTGCAGAGCAGGAGTGGGGCTGACGGGTTCCTGATCCAGTGACTGGCTTCCCAGCCAGAGGGAGAGGTCTCTGCTGCTGGGAGTCTCTGCTGATGCCGGAATGGACGGCCCTGACATGTGACAACATCTGCGGTCCTGGGGAAGGTGAGCATCCCGACTTGCCTGGGAGTGTGCTCCCACCACCAGGCGGAATGAGCATGTGAGATGATAGTGAAGCTCCTAGCTGCACACAAAACAAATGTCCTTACTCACAGAGATCACCGCCACTGAAAACTCTCAGGGTCCTTTCCTTCCGTAGACACATACAGACTGAAGTAAAAGTTATATAGGATGCATCTAATCATCCATCAATCATCTGATTATTCATCTATGGTATCTATCATTTGTCTACAACGTTATTCACTTGAGATAGCAAAGACATCTTTCATCTACGTACAGCTCTGTCTCATTCTCTTTAGTAGCTACGGAACATTCAACTTAATGGCGGCACTACAATTTATTTAACCATTCCCCTATTGATGGAAATTTGGTTGTTTACAGATTTTAATGAGAAGATGGCATTCCATTTTATGAACTTATCATAATTCATGAAAGCATCTCTTATGGGTAGATATTAGGCTGCAGGCAATGTTTACTGTTACAGTACTCAATCAAAATTCCTGTACATATACCTTTATAATGTTTTTATTTGATTTTTTGTTAGATCCATAAAAGTGAAATGGCATGGCCAAAGGATATGCAAATATATTTTATTAGATAATTCCAAATTGCCCCCAAAATGTTTGTAGCGGTTGGTTGTTCCTGCCAACAATTATGAAGCTGCCTGTTTTTTCACAGCCTCGACAGCAATCAATGTTAACAATATATGACGTGTTAACAGTCAGATTTGGCAGAAACTATTTTGTTGTTATTCACTTCCTTATTCCTTTAATCAATACTGAGGTTGAGCATCCTTTCACAGATTTATTTGCCATGCGCACTTCTTTTTTGCTTATACGTATTCTTTATCTCTTTAGGGTATTGTCTGTCATTGTCTTTCAATGAGTTGGATTTCTCTGAATATGGGATATTAATAGTCAGTTGTAAATGTTTTCCCTCCCTTGTTTGTCACTTATGTTTTAATTTTGTTTAGTCTGGTTTTTACTGGGAAAAAGTTTATAAAATTTGGTAACCAAATATGTCATGTTGTCCCTTCTTTCATTTTGTTCACTCTCACTGCAAGGCTACGGAAATGTTCCTCCATATTTTCTTCCAGTGTTCTTTTGGTTTTTATTTTTACATTTAGGTCTTTGATTTAACATATATTTATTTCTGTTGATGATATAAGGTAGGGATCTTCATTTTACTTTTTCCAATGCATAGTCAGTTGTTCTCATTCAACATATTTAAGAAACCATTCTTTTCACTAATTTTAAATGCTGATTTTATCATAGATTAGAGACCCTTGTGTACCTAACTTGGTTTCTGTGCTGCTTTTTTTTGTTCCATTGGTGGATTTGTCTGGTGCCGAACTCTTATATTTTCATCATCCTTGCTGTAAGTTGGGCGGCTTTTCAACCCCTGGAGTTTCTGGGAGGCAGAAACGACATGTTGGTGCTTCTGTTCCACAGAGGACAGAGCACACTGCTGAACACAGAGCTTCCTTTAGGAGAAAATTTGGATTTTCACACATTTGGGAAGAAATTATTAAACTAATTAGCTAAAACCCAAGGTAATAAAATCACTGCTAATGGGCAGGAAGGCCTCCCCAGAATTTAAATTCTTCCTGGTGCTCCTCCTGTGCGTTTACGTGCAGACAGCATCCTCCCAGGGCGGGGAGAAGCAACTCTAGGAGAGCCTTAGTTTACCTTCCAGCTCCTGGGGTGCACAGCCTTTCCAGTTACCTTCTCAAGCGAGGGAGCACCTGCCTCAGGAAGGGCAGCTCCTGTTAAATCTTCAGATGTTAAAGGGCAGTGGGAAACGTCACAGTCTCCCAGCAAGAGAGCAGAGAGAACGGGTGGGTGTAAATCTCAGGCAGCTGATCGTTGGAATCCATAAGCCCAACCTTGTAAATAATTCACTTCAGTGCAGGAAATCTGCATATGAGCATGAAATGTCATTTATAACTCATAGGATATTGGCTTGGCTGGGAACAGCTTTCCAGTCGACTCATTAAGTGCTGCTAAGGAAGACAGAACATAGCTGATGTAGAATACACTCCCTCCAGTAAGCCTGTGACTGTACAGACTGGTTAGCAGTACTCAAACTGAAAATAAAACTCAAGACTATGCCTGCGTAATCACTCAACTCTCCGCAAGCTCAGCGGCTCTCCGGGGTTAGCTTGGCTCTACCTCGTTTCCCAAGGTGCTTCCAGGCCTGCCCTTCGCTGAAACCCGGAGCAGACCAGGAGAAATGTTGGCCGCGGTGCTTTCTCATGAAGTGATGCGTGCTTACTGGCTGCAAAGAGAATATATAATGTTCCAATTAAGAACTTATCGCCCTGAAATTCTGGAATCTCACATAGATGACTTGTGGAGAAACAAGATGGTCTTTGTAATGAGCTCCTTTTCTCTCTTTATTAAATATTGATTGACTATGGAAGAAATTCAATTTCCAAATAGAGTTTAAGTCTTGTTCCTAGGGTATTTGGTAGTAAGTTTTTTATTTTTTTTTGTTTGCTTGTTTGTTTCAGTTTTGGTTTGAGGACTGCGAACATCTCCAGAGCAGGAGACATTTGGAAGAGCCCGTGCCTACTGGTATCTGAAACTTGGCTGCGCATGTGAGTGGGTGCTTTATTTTTATTTTTATTTTTCCAAGTGAGGCTGGGTATGTTGAAAACACAAAAAGCCTACAGTGGGAGAAAGAAGGAGTTTTTTACCTGTGGAAAGAAAAATAAAATTAATATGCCTTCCAGTTTAAATATAAGCCTCTGAAAACGTTTCCAGCCAATTGTACACCTATCTGTTGATACATAGAAACATTAGTGAAGCACAACTGGAATCACTCTAGAAATAAACTCAAAAAAGGGCTGAGATTTCTTGGCCTTCTTCCCAAGGGAGTTATTTACTAAAAGAGCAGGAGGGACTCATTATGAAATGGCTTGCCTATCACAAGGTCCCATGTCACTGGCTCTCAGAGGCGATTAGAGATTTGCAGGCTCTCGCTGACAAAGTGCTCATCCTGTCTCATGGAGCGACCTCACATAGAAAGAGGTCGCTGCAGTATACATGGTTCACTCAGTCTATCTATGTGGCCCCGTGCTCTATCATGGATGGATTTTAATTTCCTCTGGCCTAATTTCCTTTTTACAAAGTAATTTGATAGCTACCCAGCATGCACACTCTCCTAGGTGGCTACAGATTGATTGCTTGATGAATGTGCCGGCATTTTTTTTTAACTGCTAAGGTTATCGTTTACCCACTTTCGAAATATGTAGTATGTTTTTGATGGCTAAGGTTATTGTTTACCTACTTTCAAAATACGCTGTTTGCCTTTTTCCAGTCTTCAGAAACCCCTTGTATCCTGCGGATTCCTCAGCAACACTGTCACATGGAAGAGAACCAGCAATGTGAACAAACATGAATATGATGTTCATTTTCAGACTGAAAAAGGAAATAATTACAGCTACTATTTACAGTGTCTGGCTTTTCAAGCTTCATGCTACAAGCAGCTAACTCTTTGTCAAACAATTAATTTTGTTTAAGATAAATAAGTTTATATATTTAAGGTCATGTTTCAGAAGTAAAACCAGAACTATGGTTTTTATTGAGTTATAAAATTAGTTGGGGAAAAGGTAATGAATCTAAAACAACTCTTGAGATCTGCCATGTAGAATTTGAAGTATCAATGTAAATTAAAAGCAGATTCACAGAGAATTCTATGAAACCGAGTTCCCTGTTAACTTGAGGGTGCCAGATTGGATCATTTCTCAGGTTTCTCATGGCTTTTAAATACATAAGTAAAAGCCCAGTGAATTATCAAAGAGATCTGTGACCAGTGTGACTTCAGCGTTCCACTGTGATTTGAGCATATACATCACTGACTGGTTTTTTTGTTGTTGTTGTTGAGACAGAGTCTCGCTTTGTCACCCAGACTGGAGTGCAGTGGCCGGATCTCAGCTCACTGCAAGCTCCGCCTCCCGGGTTCACACCATTCTCCTGCCTCAGCCTCCTGAGTAGCTGGGACTACAGGCGCCCGCCACCTCGCCGGGCTAGGTTTTTGTATTTTTTAGTAGAGACGGGGTTTCACCGTGTTAGCCAGGATGGTCTCCATCTCCTGACCTTGTGATCCGCCCGTCTTGGCCTCCCAAAGTGCTGGGATTACAGGCTTGAGCCACCGTGCCCGGCCCTGACTGGTTTTTTTTAGTGGTCAAAAATACATTTGACAATGTGCCAACAAAATTTTTCTCAAATCATGCCATATATCATTGGTTTATCAGAGGTTACAATTCATAGCAATAAGTTTTGTGCCTTTTATTCTGAATTTCACAGTCTTTTATGAAAGCATCTTGACTGATAATTGGCTGAAAGACCATAAACAAAATCAATGAAAATAAATCTAGTCAAGGTGATGGCCATTGGAATAACAGGAGCCCTGAAGTTGAGTTTTATTTAGCATTCTTCTTCTTTCTCAGAAAGAAAAAAAAAATAAACACATAGCAAATTAAATATGTGAACCCCAAACCAACTATATCCAAAAATTCTTGGCTAAAAACCTGTAGATACACTTTCAAGAAGTGGAAAAATGGAAGAAAATGATTTCCTTAAGCTGACAAATGAGAAAATAGTTAATATGGGGCCTCATCCTTTCTGTGGCTGGTGGCTCTCTCTGGTTGCAGATTGTGTGCACAGGGAAGGACAATGCTTCTTTCATGTTATGAGGGGGCATGAGCCACCATGGGAAGGAGAGAACTCAGTGTTACCTGCTGTTAACTAGATGAAGCGAAAGTTGTTTTAATTAGATTGGTTCTTCCAGCTCCCTTCCCCCAATCCCAGCATCCATGTACTGGTAAAATAGGGCTAGGCACCATTGAAGAATGTAGAATGGAGCTTCCCAAAAGCTGAAAGTAGTCAAGCTTAGGGTCAGGGTTTGACTGTTGATGGGAGAAACTGGACTAGCCTTGCTGCTGGAGTATTGCATTGAAAGAGAGCAGGTACTTAGCCACCCTTCTGTTTCAAAGCTGGAGCTGCTTGGGTTGTATCATATTTGCATTCTAATAGTCTGCCAGCTAATAGGCCTCTAGCCTTGAAGAAGTCAAGAAGGAAAAGGAGAAAGATAGGACTTCTTAATGCTGCTACAGTCTTTATTCCACTTATAAAGAGGTGGAATTGGTGGATTTAATTATTGTTGAAATATATGTCGTTGCATCTTCACTACGAAATCAGGGTCTCTGTCTCTCTTTTTTTAGATTCAAAGTGGTCTTCAACATACAACATCATTAGAGAGCTACTCTGTGCATCATTTGGAGATAGTAAGGATTTTTAAATAATTAGGTTTGAATAAAATATACTTAGATCTGTACTGCTTGATTAAATGATGTTTTAATTTGCAAAAGGGCCATCAGGAGGCATTTGCTTGGGTGGAAACGTGGGCGCTTCCTCACTGGGCTGAAGACTAAGTGACTAAAGAAAGTCACTGGAGTACTGGGTCTCCATTCTTTCTTTACTTCTATGCTTGTCCTTCGTTTGAAGCCAAGGAGTTGTTTGGGGCTGTTATCCAGGCATTAACACAATAAAACTGAGTTGGAAATGATGGAGCAGAAAGAAATATTGGGAGCTTTCCTGGGCCCTTATTCCAGGATCCTCCAGTTTTAAGATCCTCGGGCCCTGCCTGGAGATCCGCTGGCCTGCGGATCCACAGGTATTTGTGATATTCCACAAATGCCACCACTGCTAGTAGTGAGAGATAAGTGCTTCCACAGGAAAATTAGAAGCCAGTGAGCCATTCTTAATGGGAATACTAAAAGCATGAACAATATTATTCTCCTAATTAGGATTTCATAATGTGTGAAGTGCATGGAAGCACCTGGACTTCTCTAGAGTCTGAATTTGGAGATTATTTTGTTCTATTTGGGTTGATCATGAAGCAGTTTTCCTATAAATGTGACTAACTTAAGTAAAACAAATACAAAACCAAAACCAGCTTTAGGTCCCATGAGGAACTTCCAGAAATATCTAAAGTCTGTAGTCACTAAGGAACAAGTGTAATTCCTAATGGCAATTCTTTCTACAGCATTCTGCATAAACCTGGAACCCCAAGACATTAACAGGTTATTTTTAAGAAAGGAGGTTGTATGAATTTGGGAAACACTTGATAAACAAAGTGCACAGTGATGGTATTTGGGGGGCACTGAAACCAAATCTTCACCTCTGTGATTCTGAGCTGCAGGCTCCCCTATGGCTCCCACCATGAGATATAGGTCCGGCTGGCAGGACCTCTGCAGTGGCCACAAGTCAGGAGTGGAGGGAGCGGAGGAGGTGGCGTGTGCCAGGTCTCTGTGATCAGGGAGCATCAGAAAAGTGAAAGATCTCATCCTAGTGTTTCTCCCACGTGGAGCTCTGTGGGGTCAGAGTGGGAAACATGACAGGAATGTCAGAATAATGTAAGATACCCAGTAACTTTGGGGCTAACTGCCCAACTTCCATGTGTAGCTTGGGGAAGGTTGCAGGCCTGTGGGAGAAGCCTTTGTTCAGCTCAACTCCATGTCCAGAAGAAAGTGAAATTGTGAGACGAGTGGGACTGTTTCACATTTTTACAAACCTGTATAATGCCCAGCTTAATAGAAGGCAAGGGGGTTTTCTTATCTGCTTCTGCACTGAGTCTTTCGAAATACCTAACCTCATGCAGGCTCTGGAAAACCCCACTGCACATAATACCAATGTCATAGTATTATCATACAAGTAATTTTGAGCTTTTAGATCCCTGAAAACACGTCAGGGATTCCCAGATTACACTTTGAAAACCAATATGACAGTGATTGGGGTTGAGACAGAGACAACAGAGCCTTCACAACTGGACAGCCAGAGTCTGGACTCCTTGGGGGACCGGCTTGACCCCCAACAGTCCAGCCAAAGCTGCCCACCCAGCAGGGCCACCAGCCCAGAAGTCAGCATAACAACTGTGTAAGAGAGGCCAGTGGGCATTCATAGGGTGCTTTGGGAGGCTGAGACCCCTTATTCCTGAGACAGGGGGGCATCCTGGAGAGGGATATGGGGCAGCAGGGAGACAGGAATTTGACTCAATGAGCACCTCAAAGACTGTGTCATCTGAGTCACTGAACATCTTTGGCAGGGCTTTGCATCGACTGAATATTTAACCTCCAGTTTGTTTTTGTTTTTGTTTTCAAAAGAAACTGAGCTGGCACACTTTGAAAAAGACTGACAGCTCTTCAAATATTAAATAGGGTTATCATACAACGTAGCCATTCTGCTCACAGAGATATACCCAAGAGAAGTAAAAACATATGTCCACGAAAACACTTGTACACAAATGTTCAGAGCAACATTACTCTTAATAGTCAAAAAGTGGAAATGACCTGAAAGTTCACCAAGTGATGAATAGATAATCAAAATTTGATAAATCCAGAGAGTGGAATATTAGTCAGCCACAAAAAGGAGTGAAGGCAGACACATGCTGCAACAAAGATGAATTGGAAAACATCATACTTAATGAGAGCCAGTCACAAAGACCACATGTTGTATGATTCAATTTACCTGACATTTCCAGAATAGGTAAAGTCATAGAAACAGGATGGTGGTTGTCAGGGTCTGTAGGGATGGGGAGGAAGGAGTGACTGCTGATGGGCATGAGGTTTGTTTATGGGGTTATAAAAATATTCTAAAATTAGTTATGATAATGGTTTCACAATTCTGTGAGTATATTAAAAACCACTGAATTGGACACTTAAGGCTACATTTTACAGTATGTAAATTATATCTCTACATGTTATTTAGAAACATTTTGTCCTTAGTTTATCAAAATAGGACTTGAGAATTCAGTAAAAGACTTGAGTTCTCACTAATTGAGCTCAATAAGTTTTACTGTGAGATCAGATCAGTTATGAAAATTAAAATGCTGTACTAAAAATAATGCTACACTTTTCTTGCAAATCCCCCCCCCTACAAATTAATCAATCTTTTTTCCTACAGGACTTCCCAGAGGTTTTACACATATGTCATTGTGTCCAGTGAGGGTTCAATGTTGAAGTGTTTCCAAAAACAGCTGCTCCCTGCACCTCTGCAGTCTCAGAGCATTTGGTGTGGCTCTCTTAGTGTCCTAGAGAAATCAGAGAGGTTGTCCTTTTCACTTTAAGAGTAAAAAGAGGCTTTACAGATTTATATGGAAGGAGAAACACCTTGGAAATAGAGTTAGGAGATGAATGTGTTTCTATAGAACAGAAACATTTAATTTAAAGGGACCTAAAAAGGGAGGCAGCCCCAGTGACCCTTCCTGGGGTGAGGGCTGTGCCAGGTGCGATCACACCACACCCCTCATCTTTCCAGCCAGGCTGTGAGGCCAGCGGGATGTCCTGTGTAGCATAAAGAGGTTTGGAGAAGTCACTTTGCTTATGGGCAAACAGCAAGAAGGTGATGGGATGGGGCTCTGGCCTCAGGGTCGTCTCGTGGTTCTCGTGCCCTTTTCTTTAAACTTTGCAATCAGAAAATATGGAGCCAATAGCACTGTCTCAAGCCCATTTCAGGAAAGAACAGTGAATTAATAAATTACTTGTGCTGTGTACACCTCTGTTTTGATTGGCTCGAGTATTTCCACTGTGATAAGTGAAATTCACCCATCACCTGTAAATTTCAAAATTTCAAGTGTACAAGAGACTTAAGTCCAATTTTTTTTTTTTTTTTTACTAATGGCCTTAATCAGCAAAGACACTGCCATTTTAGTGACATGTTTTTGGAATGGAGGCAGAACACAGTCAGTCTGTTAGTTGTCATCTGTAGCTGCTTTATCCTTTAGTTCTCAAATCTACCACTCAGGTTGAACTGTTCTTTGCAACGCGTTACTTCAAGAAGGTTTGACCATTTTGTCTCTTCTTCATTCAACAGTACAAAAGAGAAGACCACCCATAGCTGTAATCTGACACTTCTAGCTATTCAGTTATGACTTCTCTGAATGTACAGGTATCATTTCTGATCAACCAAGAAAAACCATGTTATAGTATTAATCCACTGACACTTAAAAATAAGTAGCAAATACAATCAACAAGATTCTTATTAGTGACTATTAGGGGTGTCCATGTCAGGACTAAAAATGGAATATTTACTTTTCTTTCCTTGACCTGAAACTTTATGAATTATTTTATGATTACACGTACAATTAGGAGCAATATTATATAGAAATCTGATGAATAACATACTGTTTATTTAATTCAGAGGAGGAAGGATTTCTTTCCCTTATTAAGGGGGTGTGTTTAGGATACAGCACTTGGGAGTTTCACACTAATAATGTCTTTGCATGGGGTGGAGGATCAGTCTTTCTTCAATTGAAAGGACTGTTGAAATCCCTAAAAACTTTGGAAGCATCCCAGTGCACTTGTTTTCCTGTCTGCCTGATACCCGTATCACTCCAAGTCCTGTGCATAGTAATGGATTTTTAAAATCATTGTGACAAGGGATGAAATGCATGTTCCTTGTCCTAGTGCCCATATCACATTGTAGTAGGTGTGTTGTAGTGACAACCACCCCCCAATCTCAGCGGTTTATAACAACGAACATTTCTTTCTTGTTTAAAATATCTCACTACTGTGACACTGTATGTCTTTTCATTCCAGGACTCAGGCTAAGGAGCAGAGATCTGGGGCAACAGGCCCTTTTCATGGAAGTTGAGAAGTACAAGGGGAAGAACCAAACCACACAATTGCTTTTAAAGCTTCTGCTCAGATATGCTGCACATCACACTGCTCATGCTGTTGTGGGCAAAGGAAGCCACAGGCCAAGCCTGGTAGTGGATCAGCTCCCCCAAGTCGCATGGCGATAGGCAAGTGTATCTGCTGTTACTGAGAAAAGAGAGGGGTAAATAGTTGTGACAGATGATACAAATGTGCACACCTCGCCTAACACAACTCTAGTGGAACAGGCTATCTGTTGTGCTGGAACCCATGTGAGCTTTTGGATTTTCGTCCTCTGTGCATGAGACAGATTCCACTGGGCACCAAACTTATCCACAGCATCCATCCAGAGATATCTGGACTCACTGAACACCCAGTCACTGCCTGCAAACAGGAGATACTGAGTTTCCAGTAAATAAGAACTCCCAGACGCATGAATACCTAAGAAGAAATTAAATGTGAAGATCTGATCAGAAACATAGTGGAACGAGTGAACACTGGCCAAAACGAAAAAAAAGTCCCATTTCACTGCCTGGACAATAGTAGGAAGGAATTCCTTACAGTTTCATGCCCTGTATTGACTTTAGAGTCATTAATGAACAGTATCTATGTTGTGTGATCCATGAAGTAGTGAGAATTATTCACACCTGAAACCATTTTCCTACTGGCTACAGAAACGTTACCATGATATGATTTATTATTAAGTGTTGTTTTCCTTGTCAACATTTTATGGTTTAACAGCCCACCTAAGTGTGAATTAGTTATCAACTGGCTTTCTTATTGAAAGACAGATGAGGCTGCATGAAAATGCTTAGCACATGGGTAGGAAGCAGTGGGTGAAAACAGCAGAAGTAGGACCCAGGAGATGAACTCTTTTACTTTCGATTATTCAGATTATATGTAAGTTCCCACGCTGTTGAAATCTCTTCAGCAGCAAGTTAACCTCCAACCTGCGAAAGACGGAAGAAATCAAGACTTGAGGATGGAGGGGACAGGGACGGTCTCTGTATCCATGTGCTCCCTGAGGTGAGGGCCCCTGCCTCTCCCATCTTTGCACTCCTCATGCCTACTGTGTACCTGGTGTAGACCAGCTGCCCTGAGATGTTTGAGGTGCTGTGTTACCATTGCCTCTCCTGAATGCCCACCGAGTGCCTCCTGAGTCATGTCACGTACCCCATCGCAGCCTTCACCCAAGGCCTGGAGACAAACCCAGCACACACAGGTCTAGTATTAATTCATAACCATCATGATGTACCTAAGATTCTACCTACCTGGATGTTGATTGATGAAATTTATAAAGTATTATAAGGACTTCAAATCCACTTATAACTATGACATACAAAATGCACAAAACCAACTTTTAAAGCCTTCTATGATTTGTTTAAGACTGAAGAACTTTAAGACCATTACTTTTAAAATGTAAAAAAAAAAAAAAGAAAGAAATGGAAAAAGGAAAAGGAAATAAAGAAGCAGAGGTGGACATCAAGACAGAGGAAGGAGGAGATGCTACCTGCCTGCTCCCATCCATCTCTTCTTCACAGTCAGAAACACTAAGAGGAAACCTGTGCTACAGGAGAAGATGTTCCAGAAATTTTGTCTTAGGACTTTAACCTTTCTGATATATGACTGGGTCATAAACTTCCTTTTCAGAAGCTATCGATCACCCCATCACCTCTGCAAATGGGGTGTCTATCAACGGCGTCTGTTGCTGGCACATTGGAAAATGGTTCATGAGTGGTGAAATTTGTTGCAACTTTTGCTTCTGTCCTGTAATGAAGGAAAATAAACTTTCTTCTAGGAGTGCAGTATTGAATTTGCCTGGGTATGTTGAGTTTGTAGCTGTTGCAGGTGCACCTAGGCTTAAAGCATTTGGAGGCATCCTTGCATCTGTGTTAAGAGGCTCTCTGTGTAGGGGAGAGATCATTGACTCATTGGCCTGTATACTGATGTAATGCCCAAGGGGAGGGCCCAGTACCTTTTCTGAAAGGGGCAGCTCTTCCTCAGATTGGGAACTGGAATTGAGAGGTTGTCTTGGTCAGAACTGAGAAAGAATGAGCTCTGGATTGACGTCTCATCTTAAACTCCATAGAATCTGGGTTTGAGAGACAGCACACTCACAGGAGATTGGGGCAAAAGAGTGCTTTGTAGGGCCATAGCTCTGCAGTGATACTTCTCTCTTGTACCCAAGTCAAAGACCCATAAACTCACCGTGGTAGATGTTTCCTTCTGCAGCAAATTCCCCTTGAGTATCCCTCCCTTTCCTGCAGAGTTTTGTTTAACTGTTCCCAGTTGTGGTATGGGGAATCGGGGAGGAGCTGTGGACACACACTGGTCCATGTAGGGGCCGCAGCAGTGACCAGTGAGAGGGCTTCTTGAGGACGGCGACTCTGAGGACACAGAGCTTGTGCTGTGAGACCTAGAAACTAAGTTCCCAAGGAGCTTTTCTCTTCTTTGCCAACCTTGAAGATCCAGGTATTATTTTATAAAGCCGGATGGAATCTTCCTACACATAGAGTTCTCAGATCCAGGTAGTATTTTATGAAGCCGGATGGAATCTTCCCACTCAGAAAGCTAGAGTTCTCAGGTTTCTCAGGTTGCTCTCCGGCTCAGTGATGCTGCGTGAGAATGTTTGACCATATCTTCACGGCACAAGCTTTGGATCTGATGTCAAGAAGCCTTTGTGAATCCTAAAAACGAACTGCATCTCCCTGAATCGAAATAAATACTACTATATGCACTTGAATGGAAACAAAAACTAGGATTCTTTTTGGGCCCTAAGCAAAATGTAGAAACTCATTTTCCCATCAGACTTTTCCGTAACTTTCCTTTAACCTAATGAGACACTCCATAGGAGTCTAACATTTCTTCACTGAATTCCAAGTGTAGGTTTCCTGGGTTGTCCATTTAATTGTTAAAGTGAGAGAGACTCTGCTGGAAGACAAGCACCACAGAACAGCAGGGGGAAAGCTGAAGGGAGGTTACTTGGGAGTCGCCCCAGGAAGAAGCCCTGTGCAGACCGCCATCACCGGCTGGAGAGTGGCCACGAGACATGTACGGTGGCCTCTGGATGCTTCTGCGCTGCCTCATGGGAATTTTCACAGGTCTTCCTCTCTTTGTAAATGGTGTCCAGTGAGGGGAAAATGAAGTGGTACTTACTACACACACGTTCACCAGATACTTGCTGCGTTATCCCCACACTGTGGATGGCTTTTGACGAGGTGCCTGATGAAGAGAGATGCACATAGTTGTGAGTCCTGGCCTACAGACACTCATGATGGGTGCTCCACAGTGCTGGTGTTGAGTAAATGCCCAGGACAGTATGCACTGTGCTTGACACACAGTATGACTCATAAGATATCTGTTACTATGTGAACAGTGAACATATGCACAGCATACAAATCAGTAACCAAGTGCTGTTCTGATGGTCTTGTCCTGAGCAGTTTTTCCCATCAATTGGAGACAAGACTCATTCTCTAGAAAGAAGAGCAAACAATGGCGGGTCCCACCAAGGCTGTGGACAAGGGAAAGGCAGAAACCTGCGGAGAGAGCAGAGACAGAGGAGGCTTGAGACCTACATGGAGGGACGGGAAGGGAGCTCAGAAGCCCATTTCCTAGCAGATCCCAAGTTGTGAAAGTTGATATGGCGGAGCGCACGCGCACAGAGTAACACCTAGAATTCTCAGAGTTGGTGACTTAAAGAAAGAAAAAACACAGACTAAAGATTACTCCTCAGTTTCCCACAGGCCTCAAACTTCCAGCTGCCAAAAGACAGTGGGGTGTGGGGGGTGGAGAGAGACCTCATCGCAGAGGGACAGCTTTGTCTGTGACAGCTGAGACGGGTGCCAAGGAAGGACGAAGTTTCTCTCTGCCAACTAGACTTAGAGGGGGAAAAACAACCGTAATCATGTTTCTTTTCCTGATAATCATATGCAAATCAGGTTACCACAACCTATACACATGGTTAATTCCTCTTTATGGATAAGTACAACTTAAAAGTTGTGAACAAGAGCAAAAGGATGTAATTTTCTAGTTTTCTAATGAGCTCAGAGTTTATGCCCAGTTACAGTTGAGCTCTGGAATGGTTTTTCTAGCTCTTCCTGTCCTGTAGTTCTGGTAGAGAAGCTATGAGGACCAGAGACAGAGCCAAGGTGGTTTAAATTCTGGCTGCACCAACTGCCCTCCACATGATCTAGGGCAATTGACCCAACCTTTGTAGGCCCCAGTTTCCTTTCCTACAAAATAGGCAGGATAACCAGGAGGTCAAAGTGAAGTGACAAGATGTGAACCTGCTCTGTAAGATGATAAGCACTATTTGCTGGGAAGGGATTGCAGCTTCTTAGCTGTCCGTTAAGTGTGGTTGGGGTTGTCTGTGGATTAAGGAAGGAAAATTGGGTTTTAATTCTAAACAGTCCTATGAATCAGCTGGGGCTGAAGACCTGGGTGAAGGTAATCTATAGTCAGTGGATTTTAGATAGTTAACTTCAAATAATTAGGAACAACACTGAAATATTTGACCATATTTAGTGCATCTGCTGAAAATGTTTTTGAAAACTTAAACCCTGTAGTAGGTTAAACCAGCCTTGGGCTACAGCCTGAAGCATGTGCCAGCGCAACGTGGGCCCACTAAGACCAGGGGAAGTACCAGGTGATAGAAAACAAAATGAATTAGGTGAGTCTTACCTTCCCCACTCCTCCCTCCTTTTCCTCCCTTCCCTCATTCCAGGTTTAGATGTCCTGTTTCCTATATAAACTCTCACATGCCCTGGTTTTTGACTGAAGCGTTTGTGATTAGACGAGGACTTGGATAACTAATGAGAAGCCTCGTGACCCACGCAGCAGAGAAGCAATGGAGAGATCACTCCTGAGTGTGCGTGCTGTGCTCAGCATAGCCGCGCGGCATCCTAACCGTGTGTGGGTGTTTAACAATGCCACTTGGTGATTTTTATGATGTCATGCCACAGTCTTCTTATGTCAGTTGGGCTCCTCCCACACCTATTATGAGGCATGAGAATGAAAGATCCCGCAGTTTATGGGTTGAGTCGCAGTGGATGATTTGTAGGATTAAGATTAATCAGTGGCCTCTGATTAAAGTCTTAGTTAAATGGACCTGCTCCCTCCATGGGTCTTCGGTATTTAGAGACTTGGTCCAGGTTATCCCGTTAACCCGCTTTATTAGAGAATCTTATTGCTTTATTTATGGGATTGTGAGAGTCCAAAGGTTTTTACTTTCAGCTGCTGCTGCTATTTTGCCCCTAAAAATAGAGTGTAAGCCCTATTTTTTTTTATTTTTTTTTCTGATGGAAGAAAATTTTTTCTTTAATCTGTCATAGAAAAGGAGACTTTTCAAGCCCATAGAAGTGATTTCAACTTCGGACTTGTGAAGAGAGCTGTCAGCATACACCACATCTGTAATGAAAAGGCAGGATTCCTTCCCTCTGAGGGATCTGCGGTGTCCCAGTCAGTGCAGAGGACTTCAGGACGTCGGTTCGACACCTCTGAAGGAACAGCCAGCATCATCCCTGGAAACGGAGATTGTTGGTTGGTAGAGGTTATTGCTAAATTCGAAGAGTGTGCATCAGACAGTAAAGCTGGTCCTTTCATGAACCGGGGTTTGGAAGCTGCACGTTGCCAGAAAGAACCTGGCTTGCATCCCTTCCCTCTCCGTCACTCCCTGGCTTTCGGAGCCTCTTCATTAGGTTTGCTCATGAAGCGCATCCCTGCCCTCATGTTCTCTCTCTGGTTCGCAGTCCTCCTTGGATTGTCTGGTCCTTACTGTGAGCTTCACGCCTGACTCCGTTTTCTGAGTTCCGCTACCTAGTTCCAGCTCCAAGTCTCAAGTTCCCATGCAGGCCCCAGGCACATGTTCACTGTTGGGAAGACTCTGCCCTGCTTCCGTGGCAGCCGTGCTGTGAGGCTGTTAAGAAGCCATGCACTATGTCAGTAGCATTCTGTTCCCCCAGACTCTCAGACCCTGTGCGCCCCTCTGCACCGTGACCCTGTCTGTGGGACCCCGCTTCCGCTGTTTTGTGTCATTGTTCTCTGCTCTTCCTCTTGAACAATGGACTCCGCTGCATCTGGTTTTGACTGTCGTATGATGTCTTCTGCGTTCCCTTTCGTGTTTTATTCACTACCTTCAGATTCGTGATCATCTGCCTGCAGACCGCACGTAGAGCTTCTCCTACCTAGGCAGCCTCAGAGCCGCTGGTACCCCCAGGCGCTCCATTTGCCCGGCAAACCTCCACCTCCACCTTTTTGTGATTTCCCTGCTCCTGTGAACGGTGTCACCAGCCATCTAGTTAGCCGCTGTCATTGTTAGCCGTCCCCTTCCTCCCACCCCTGCTGGTTCTGGCTTCATGTACCCTTCCCCAGAGTTTTAATACCCCAGAGTTCTGCGCTAATCTGGACCCTCATGCTGCTGGAGGGCACACATGGCTGTGATGGTCACTCAGCGGCCCAGCTATCTCCATAGCATGGCCTAATGCCCATGTCTAAATCATGTTACTCTCACGCTCAGCCAACCTCTACCTTCAAGGGGTGCTCGCAGGTTACAAAAGGAAGCCCAAACATATCAAAGTATTGGCTAGGCCCCATATTCCCCATCCTAATCTACTTGTAGCGCCAAACCTTTCACCTTATACAGCCTCCCTCTGGTCCTGGGGACTGTCCCTTAATGTTTCCCCTTTTGTGTCCTTTGCTTATGTGAGTCCTTCTCTCGGGGACAGTCAATTCTCCTGAGCAAATCCCAGCTCAAACACAGTCTCCTTCAAGAAGCCTTTCTTGGTGTCTGAGGAGACTCCTTTTCCTCCGGGCTTCCCCAGCCTGCCCGCTGAGTGGAGTGTCCTGGAGGTACTTGCTGCAGCCTCTAGCTGCCCAGGAGTGATTTGTCTTCTTAGAAACCTCATCTTCCTTTCAACTCTAAGCCCATTGAGTCAAGAACCTTGTCTTCTTAATGTATGTATCTTTCACTTACTGTATGAACCTGCTTTACTATGGTGAGCCCTGAAAAATGATTGATTTCATCTTGTTGGAAAAAAGACTGCTTGGCTTCCATGAGGGGAGTTTTATATGTATTACGTACTCTACAAAAATCCTTATTAAGAGTTTGCTCCTATTTTTAATCAGACTCCAATTTGTGATTTAAATTCAGAGGTGACATGAAAGAATTTACAAAACATCATTCTTCTTTGGTCATAATTTTTTTGAGTGATATTTTTTCTTAATTCCATTTACATCTATCTCTTTTGGTGTTTTAAGACCTCGAACTGGGGCAAGCCCTTGATAATTTCTTTAAGGAGAAAAGAAAAACACATACATTTGAAAATTCTAGTAGCTAAAATGCTTCCAAAAGTTAAGCTAATAGAATTAGCTCAAGAGAAATTATAATAACCTAAGTCTTCTCCAGTTAAGCATAATTTGCATAATCCCAGAATGAAATATGTCTGAACTTTCAGGAAAAAACGAATAAGATCAGCATTTATTGTTTTATTTTTTCATTGCTTCTGAAAAATTGTATTGGTATTGCTTTGTATGAATAGGTCTCCATGAGTAAATTATGATCAAAATTCAAAGCCATCATAAATTAAATGTGTTTTTTTTTCCTGCTTTGGTATACAAGACTTTCCATTAAGCTAGCCTCATATAATATACCTTGGATGTGTTCAAGAAAGCCCTGTAAATTATAGTAAGTATTTAAAATGGTAAGTAGACATTGGAAAAGGCCACATTAGGATTAATGAATGAAGGGGTTGATACTGAAAATGCACTTGTAAATAAATAACATAAAAAGTAAAGATGACACGTTGTTAGGTTAGAGTTACAAGTAGAGTATGACACTAAATTGCAGGGCGGCAACAGGGTGTTCACGGAACTTCAGTTTCTTTGTAGGAGCGTTTCTAATTTCTGTCTAGCAAAATCTTCCCGGTTTCATCCAGTCTGGGTTCCATCCTGAGGCTTTTCCTGTGCCTTCCTTTCAGATATGGGAAGTGCCTGAGATTTCCTTCCTTAGCAGTCAGTCCCCTTCCTGCCAGCATTTGGAGGACTATTCACCCAACAGTAGGGGACCAATAGAAGGTGGAGCTGGCTTTGTCGTAGAGATTGCATTTTCTCCCAGTAGCCCAGGACTAAATGCTCTGGGGAAGGAAGAGGACGCAGGAGTCATGTTACTTGTGACAAAATGGAAGCACTAAGCAAGAAATGCACACACAGGGCGGGGTACGCTTTCGATGCATGCACTCATCTGCCTCCAGGAAGGGTTGGGGCAATGAACTGCGCTTTGAGGAAAACGTAAAAAGAGGACAGTGCATATTTGGACTGTTATTTAAAAATTTGTGTGGCTTTGACAGAATAGAGTGGAGACACTTGGAAAAGTATCTCGGGTATATTTAAAGTTTTGGCACAAAGTTCAGTTAACACTCTCCTTAGGCATATAGACTTGCAGCTATATAAACTCAGCTTTCCTAAATTATCTATACATATATATGAATATGCATATGTTATATGATGAGCGAGATTTCCTTCTGAGATGTTCATTTTTTCTAACACCCAAGTTTGCATAGCCCCAATTATGTGATTTGCAATACCTGTTAGATTTCCCATTTGCTAAAGAAGATGACTTCAGCTTGAACCACTGG